CTTCAGGTAATGCTAGCAGCATTAAAAATAATAACATCTATTTGTTGACCCCAAAGCAAGAAGATAATTAATGAAATATTTTCCATAGGACCCATTCTCTGATCAGATTATCTGCTAAAGAAAGATAATTATGGTTGGCCTCCACTTCCCTACTATGGCTTAAACAATTAACTTCTCAGCTCCATTTTAGAAAGAACATGTTCTGTCATGCCCTCAGCTAACAGACTACATACATCATGAGTAGTCTTTTTAACTTTCCCATTGGTTTGGGAATTCATTTGGAGCTTTCTGCACAATGACACCTGCACCCGTCTCCATCCTTGTCTACACACCTCAGCACAATTCTAGATTTCTGGCATGGGCAACTAAAATATATACAAGTAAGTGATAAATAGCACAGACCCATTAAGGAAAGTTATTTCTTCAAGAGATGCTGAAATGTTCCAACAAATTAAAAAAATCAAAGCTTACAGGGGCGCCTCGGTGGCTCAGTCGGTTAAGCGTCTGACTTTGGCTCAGGTCATGATCTCACGGTTCGTGGGTTTGAGTTCCACATCAGGCTCTGTGTTGACAGCTCAGAGCCTGGAGCCTGCTTCAGATTCTGTGTCTCCCTCTCTCTCTGCCCCTCCCCAGCTCACTCTCTGTCTCTCTCAAAGAATAAATAAAAACATTAAAAAAAATTTTTTTTAAAGCAAAGCCTGTGAATGCAGCAAGAAAGTAGGGGTGATTCTCTTATTTTAGCATAAAGCAACTTAACATAATTCCAAATCTGTTGGTAAAATACAGTATTAATAAGGCCAGAAGAAGTTTGTAAGCAGGCTGGTAACATAAAAGTAAATTAAAGAGTCCTATCTAGTATGAAGACACAAGAGCCAACAGGCTGTCAAAAATAATATGCACAAAGCTCTGGAAAACATTTGGTAATGGGGTTATTTACAAAAAAGAATTAATATAAAATCTCAGGAAGCTGAAGACAACTTTTACTGAAAACTTCCAAATCAAACTTCTAAGGGTTTTACATGAAAATCAGATCAAATATGTAAAGGAGTTCTCCACATATCACAACAAAAGTATCCAGGTTTTATTTTCAAGATTAAGCAGTGAAACAGTGTCCCGAGTCCGTGGTCTTTAAGGTAAAGCACGTGCTGCCAGAAGGTGCGTGAGACCATCTACTGGGGCGGGAAGAAAACAGTACAACTTGCAGTCAAGATTTACTGTTTAGACCATCCTTAATTCCTATTTTTGTGTACATCTCAGAACGTACATGTGCCTTTCCTACAGCGGCATACAACTCCACTTATACACGTATGATTTCGCAGTAGGAAATACGGTGTTTAAAACTTTTACTGATCAAGGTGTGCTCGAAAAGGCTGCAGACTGCTTTTCTGAAATGGCAATGAGTGCTTCTAGCGCTTAAATTCCCCAGAAACATACAAAACTGCCTTTAGAAATTCAGAATCCTATCACCTGTTCTGAGACCAGGATGAAACAAAGTTATGAGGCTACAACTCACACAACAGGTTTGAATGGGACTGGAGTGATGTTACCAATAGCCTGCAGTTACAGCCACAGAATCCCACACCTCTTTATTTATTTACTTTCCCCTCCACGTCTGAGTCGCACAGTATGGAGAAAACTAGAAATTGTGCCCGGTGATTGGATTCAACAGTCATGCCTGTTTTGATCTCTCATACAGTATGCAAATCATCAAAGAATTCTTCCAGTTTAAAAAAAAAAAAAAAAAATCCAGGACCCTTTTTCATTATATACACATATACACATGCATACATGTATGTGTGTGTATACACGTATATATGTGTGTGTACATACACACACACATGGGCTCATGGGCTTAGTTTCCCCATCAAAATCTGAAGAAGAAAAAAATCTCTGCTTATATAGCTTACATTGACTTTTTTTGAGGGTTTCTGGATTATTCCATCATGTACGTATTTTTAAAAATCAATGGAAGTTTCTACCTTTGTTAAAACACACAAAATATGCCATGAGGAATGTAACCTCACAAAGGCACTGACAAACCATTAAAAAAAAGATTACTGAAGCTAGCCATGTGATTTTAATTTTGTGTTTTAAGAAATCAGCATATGAACAAGGAAGAAAATTCTTTTAGAAATTATGTGAAAATCCACCCTAGGATGGAATAAATGCGGTGCTTTGCTGGCTCAGTGTGTGGCTTTGAGCCAACTGTGTTCATCCCTTCTCAGCTCTAAGGTAGTAGCTTAAAATCAGCCACAGGGGAAATAATTTAATCATGGGAATCAGCAAATGCTACAATTGAAGGATTGTTTTTTCCCCTTCAGAAAGCCTGGTTGTTAAACATTTCCCAGCATACAAATGAGTAGATACGGGCCAGAGCAGATGAAAAGCTAAGATAACCACAGATGTCTCAAAAGCTCATTCAACCTGCTCCCTTATCTTCGCTTAGGCTACTTTTGCCCACCAGTGAACGTCCTGGCAAAGTGACTTGTGATGGATACCAGCTAGATACAGAACAGAAGTCTCCCCAGTGAATATGGATCTTAAGTGGTATGTCACCTTTGGATGCTAAGAACACCGGATGCTCAAAAAAACATGAAGCTGAGAGTTTTCCAGGAAGGAGGTAGTTTACTAACAGAATGGTCTGCCTCATACACTTGAGCTGAGGTTGTAAACTTTCATTTGAAAAAGGAAATACACACACACACACACACACACACACACACACACACACACACGCACACTTCTCCACGTCAGTTGATCTCAAAGAGAAAGCAGATCATCAATCTCCTGAGGCCCGCACCTCTCGGAGGCTTCCGGGGTAGGTATATAGACAAGAGGCCTCACAAACACTGGTTCCCAGGAAGCTGCTTTGACTGAGTTTTAATGGTGCCCTTGGTTCCCAGGCACCCCTGTGCTGACACAGTTAGTCATCAAAGATATTGTCTATGAAAACAACCAATGGCTTTTCTCCTTTAATTCAAAAAGATAAAATACTTTTGTGCTTTCAAAATTTAAAATATCTAGTTAAATCGAGCCATCAATACTTAGATTTAATGTACAAAATATTCATAAACCTAATAAAACTATCCCAAAGTGCTGCTGAGGTCTGATTCCAAAGAAGCATGCCCACGAAGCGACTCCGTGTGGGAGAGAAGTCCACCGTCCGCTCCCCATCACTACCAAACATTGCCTCCAGAACTGTCGCGCACCTCAGGAGCACACCTTTCAGCCCATAGCCACTGACGCACCAGTGAACGGGTCCCCAAGACGACAGATGTGAAGACGGCTCCCTGAATGTTGTCCCTCCCTGACTACTAACTAACATGCATGTCTCACACTGTAGCTCCTCCACACTGTATAGAAACATATTTAAAGTGAATATTCTACATCTGGAAGATGCTGGTTCCTATCAGTGTCATTTGGAGCCCTCAAAACCTTACTCCCTCATTCCATTTGGTTTGGGACTCCATTACAGAACTCCTTCTAGGGTTAAAAGATGAGGTTCCTAACGGGCAGTGTTGTAGTGCTGGTCGTGGCATATAATCTAATCCTAGGCTTTAAAAGCCAAGTTTTCCCAAAGATTCCACTCTAATCCTAGGCTTTAAAAGCCAAGTTTTCCCAAAGATTCCACTGTGATGTTGGTTATCAATTCAGCTTGGACTATCCACAAATCTGTCTCCACCTAGGGCTGAGTACCATATGATAATATTTTATAAATGTGGTTTATGAAGAGATGAAGGCCTACGTTTTTCGCTACTACTGTGAACAATCCAATCCCTGTACATGAGCATTTCCAAACAAATTCTGCTGCTAATAAAAAACTTTTTTTCAAAGACATAACATCTTTACCTCACTATAGATTTGGAGGCTTTGCTTTGCTTTTCATCTTCCTAATTACATCTTTAAAACAATCACAACCCCTAATAACCTGAAATTTAAAAGATAAAATATGCAGTGAACAGAAAAGAAAAAGTATCTTCTAACTGGGAAAGAAAGCCCCACATGTGGTTTCAAGTTATTCAACTGAATGTTTTACTCAGAGATGCCTCAAGATTTCACAACCCAGGTTCATCCTAAAAGCCATCACTTACCATCCTGTACATATCACGGGTGTGTAATTATACCACCAGCGAGCAGACATTTCTGTGCTAGAGATGGGGTCCCCTATTCTCACCGGTTGTTGCAAAACGTGGTCGTAAACCCCACGTTTAAAAATCTTCCTATGCTGAAACAGACCAGGCTCCATGCTGTTCACAGGTTCAGACAAGATCACACACACGGCTAAGAGACCCACCCCGATACAGGTAATAAGATGCCTTGCCGTGGACTGCTTACACATGTTATAGTTCAGAGCAAAACAGAATCTCCCCAACAGTACTGCTCTAATCTTACTTGGTGTGAACAGGAAGGAATCCTTTTCCTTCACTGCTCATACATAGCTCACTTTTAATTTTTCAACAGAACACACTTAGTCCTAAAGACATGGCCAACTGCATTTAACATTTCTTCAACTAATATACTCAAAGCATAAATGTTTTCCTGGCCAAAGGGTCCCGATAAGGCAGAAGGAATAACTTTGTTCTTAACTGCTCCTACAAAGCATAGCTAACTGCTAAACCCCACCAAAAATTTCTTTAAACACAAAGCTCAAAATATTCAGGAGGGAGGGAAGGAGGTAGGGAGGTAGGGAGGAAAGGAAGTAAGGAGGGAGGGAGGGAGGGAGGGAGGGAGGGAGGGAGGGAAGAGGAGGAGTTAGGGAGGGAGAGGGCAAGGGGGAGGGAGGTGGAGTTTGGACTCCAATTAAGGCATTTTTATATACAGTCCAACTTGAGTCATAGTCAAAGGGAATCTTAGAAAGGCATTTCAATGGGGAATGGCAAAAATCACAATAGTCTATTATCAGCATTGTAGAACTATTAATCGCTCACTCCAAATGTAATCATGTCGAATGTCTTTCTGTTTCTTTACTCCTTGGTTCTCTCATTCCACAAGTGCATAGGTTATGTTTTCTGTAGATCTGGGGAAAATGGGCCAGGGGTGGGAGGTCCATCCAGGCCAGACACAGTGAACGGTCCATGACTGTTCAGTACAGAAGGAAACTGAGAAAGAAAATAAAAACACATTATCATCCTATTACTCAACCCCAACTTTCATTTTCTGTCCCTGCTACATTCCCTGAGGCAGAAAATGAAAGCCACCTGCAGTGGCTCACAGGACAAAGGTAGTAACCGTTTATCATGGAAGAACATGATGTCACAGCAGAAACTTTAAAGAAAAAAAAACTGTTCATCCTACATGTTACATATTACAGTCTCCAGCCTACCTTGAAGGAAGGAACAAACCTATGAGGCCTTCCCTTATAGCCAAAGGTATACAGGTTTACATTTAACTTCATATGAAAGTTTTAAAAAGTTCAGTAAATGACAGCACGCACGACAGAGTACAATTCAATCATAAAACAAATTGCAGACTGTCAAAAAGAGGTCCGGAAAGAGATGCCCATCTATGAACTCTACAACTGGTGTAAATAGTTAGACGTATTCATCCTAGAAGAGCCTTCCCCATCATGTATTCTAAGACCAGTTCTATAGGGAGAGTCCGGGCTGAAGCCACATGAGCACTGTAGCTTTGCCTGAGGTCTCTGGTCACTCTCTAACTCAATTATCTGTGAGAGGCAAAGAAAAACATAAAAATACAATATGAAAAATTCTCAACGCTTTCTAGTCAATAACTTAGAATGTTTTACAAAATAAAAAAATGCAGAAGTAGGAAGATTTTTAATTTTCTTTTTTCCTTACCATTTCATTTCCAAAAGAACAAATGAAAAGTTAAATTACAAAATATAAGAAAATCTCCCAAGGAGTCTCCCCTAAATAAGTAAATGAACCAACCAAAATAAACTCTAGGAGTTAAAAAGTCTAGGTGTCTGAGGCAAAATGATGGTTAAAAGCTGTAAGACCCTTCCTATGATCTTGGCTAAGGGATCACACAATATCCATTTTTTTTTAAAGAGCTTTTTAATGTTTTATTTATTTTTGAGACAGAGAGAGACAGAGCATGAGCAGGGGAAGGGCAGAGAGAGAGGGAGACACAGAATCCAAAGCCGGCTCCAGGCTCTGAGCTGTCAGCACAGGCCTGACACGGGGCTCGAACTCATGAACCGCGAGATCATGACCTGAGCTGAAGTCAGATGCTGAACTGACTGAGCCACCCAGGCGCCCCACAACATCCATTTTTTAAAATATGTATTTAAAATGTTGATAAATATCAATTCTAAATGAATGAGAAATGGGCGTATTTGATAAACTATACTCAAAATTTTTCTCTTTTAAAAAGCCTCAGGTAAAAGAGAAAAGCTACGTGCAGATCCTCCTGCAAATTCACACACACACACACACACACACACACACACACACACGTATATTTTCTTCTTTTAAAAAAAAAAAAAGAGAGAGAGATTTCTAGCATTTAAAATGACAAGGAGGGGCGCCTGGGTCGCTCAGTTGGTTAAGTACTGACTTCAGCTCAAGTCATGATCTCACGGTTTGTGGGTTCGAGCCCCACGTCAGGTTCTGTGAATGCTTGCTCAGAGCCTGGAGCCTGCTTCAGATTCTGTGTCTCCTTCTCTCTCTGCCCCTCCCCCTCTTGTGCTCCGTCTCACTCTGCCTCTCAGAAATAAGTAAATGTAAAAAAATCAAATTTTTTTTAACGACAAGGAAAGGAAATCGGGCAGGTTCAAAATCTACAGTACCGAACAATCCCTGGTCTAACTCAAACGTACGTCACAGTGAACAATGGAAAGGAGACGTTGGCTGTATTTATCGGAGCTGTTTGCTGGCTAGAAAATCAACACTTGGAAGGCATGTTTGTTAAACACAAGTTTTATAATGATGAAACCAAAGGGTGAAGACACTGCCTTTTGGCCCCACTCTTCGTGGACCAGGCCCCAAGTGCAAGAGACAGACCTGTGGGTGTTTTACCTGGAAGAGTGTGTTAGCACCTTGCAGCCTGGCTGGACTCAGGGGAGCAACAGGGCTGAGAGTGCTCCAGAAGTGGATACTGGAGAGCAGGGGGCTCGGCGTCAGTAAGATGGGCGTCTGCAACACACAAAACAGCAACGGTCACTGAGGACTGTTTCAACCTTATAATAATACACCAGCAGCCCTGAACCCAAACATTGTCCTAGTCTCTGCCCCAAATCTCTCCAAAATTTTATCATGAGGGAAAGCTCAGAAATTATTTTTACTTGCTAAGAAAGGTCAAAATGTCTTCTCACCTGTCTTTTGTAGGGTCTTTCCCAAATACAGAAACCAATCTGGTCAAGTAGGGAGAAGTAACAGGTAACTAAGTCACAAACACGGTTCCCCTTAGTAACGGGCAGTCTGGGAGTCATGGATTTAAGGTTACGGGAGAGGTGACTGGAGACCAGCAAGTGAAGAAATGGCTAATGTAACTGTGCACACTTGCTACTCAACATCACACCAGTTGTTCTCACATTTCTCAGAATTTATTGTTTTCCAGCTTTTGAGGTTATCACTGTTATTTTATAAGATACCAACCAGTTCTATATGACCAAAAAAAAAGAGAGAGAGAGAGAGAGAGAGAGAGAGAGAGTAGTTGCTTTAGGAGGAAGTTGGAAAATATTCATCTACTTGCAGAGACCATGAATCCTTCACAACACGACTCCAAACCTTTCACTGCAGCGATCCTGACTGGGTGAGGAACGGGGTGACTTTCACAGGGTCACAGCTAACTTTTCTAAGACAAACCTAAATAGCAGCAGGAGAACCTGATGTTATAAATTCGGGATTTGTTTAAAAAGGTGAGTTGGTGGCGCTAAAAAGAAGGGGTCAGTTACCTGGGAGAACAGCGCTGGCGTGAGAGAAGCCGTAGGGAGAGACGGGCTCAATATTCCCAGCGGGCTCGGGTCGCTGCCCGTGATCACGAGGATGGGTGCCAGCTCTAACCCTTTGGGTTTCTTGGATCTCGAGGAATTCCTTGTTTTGTCCTTTTCCAGCAAAGCTGAATCCTGGTCTTTAGGCTCCAGCGACAAGTTCTCCGGAAGTTCCATGGGCTGAGAAGCCACCGAGTCGATGTCTGTGTCAAGGTCAGGGTTAGGGCTCAGCGGCGGCGAAGGCGTCCCAGGAGGCTCCTGCACAGGAGGCGGCGCGGACGCACCAGGTGGGGTGGCAAACGCGGTCGTTACGCTGCAGGCGGAGGTCGGGGCTTCCAGGGAAGGCAGTTTGGGGGAAGCCAAAGTCTCCAACGCTTGGAGAGTTTCTTCTGAGGATGGAGAAAGGCTCGGGCCGGCCGACAGGACGGCGGCCACGGGTTCAACTGGTAGCTTCTTGGAAGGCGTTGTTACGAATTTGATGACGGACGGTGTTGGCTCCTGAGGAGGTTTCTTCTCTGCCAACTTCTCGGCTGGGTTCTCGAGCTTGATCGGTTTGAAAAGCCTCTTGTTGGAGGAGTTCAAAGAGTTGAGGGTAAAGGAGGAGTACAAGCCGGAGTGGATGTAGTCGTTGCGGCTGGAGGTCCTGGCGCCAGGCTGAGGCGGCCTCTCCCTGCCCCCGCTCTCCGCATCTCTGCAGCTGCTGGTGACTTCGCCGCAGCCTCCGGCTTCCCCGTCCCCCTCAATCCTGCCCACCGTCATTGGGTCCATTTTCAAGATCTCTGGGTAAGAGACAAACTTGTACACAAACTTCTGACCATTCACTTTTTTAATGATATTCTGTAGATAAACAAAATAAGCATTCTTACACTTTCTCATAAACTTACCTCCCACAGCTCACGAAAAAGCTGACCTAATAACAGACTCTATTTGGCAAGTAGTTTACCGAAGAGCTTCAAAACCATCTATGTTTATCTAGCCACACCAAAGGCAGTTCCTACCACCGTGGAGCCCAAGTCGAGTGTTTAAGTGTCTCATTAACAACTGAACCAGTATGTTACGTAAAAGGGAGATTTCAATTGCTTAACACTCTCAACCAAATATCGGCATTAAGTCAAAAATCACTGAACTGCAACCTCAAATAGTTCCAAAGGTACAAGCCATACGCATCCTGAGGAAGCAAAAAGGAACAGAACGTTACTTCTGCTGAAGTTTCCACTTCGTTCTGAAGTTCCAGTTGTTTCTTAGACAGACAGAAAAGCTGGTTAAGATCAAGCTCTTCAGAGCGAAACAAATTAAGATCTCAGCTTCTCATTCCAATTCTATCCATTTTGAGCCACTTATTGTACCTCAGTGCCCAAGAACGTATCCAAAATAAGAAATTAAACAAAAAATAAATGTTAACTAAGAAACCAAATCTGTGCACTAACAGCTCTTCTTTAAGGTATTTGTGTTCCCTGGGTTAAATTAAAAAGTAAAAAGTAAATAAAGCTAAAACACAAGCATATGTGTGACAATTTTTAAGTCATGATATACACAAGAATGTTTCTTTTAGCCTTGAAATCTCCTATTTTCTGCTCCTTATTCCAACCCTGTGCTCATTTTTCCTTTAAAGATGACTGCAATTAGGAACAAAATATGTATGAGGAGTGGAACTCTGCAGAAATAGAGCTGGCACACTTACACATTTCATCCCAATTCCACACTGCTGAAGTTATCAAATAAACTGGATCAAAATAATCCAAGGCAGTCTGTGATCGTTTTGCAACGTACACAAACATCGAATCGTTATGTTGCACACCTCAAGCGAATATAATGCTGTAGGTCAATTATGCCTCGATTTAAAAGAATCTGAAATTAACCAGGACATGAGTAGTTTCATAACCTCAACAGAAGAGAGGAACAGGTCTTATTCTGAGGTGGATGCGTATTACCTTTACATAATAGTATCGGAGGGCTCGGCTGAGTTTGTCGTAATTCATGTTAGGCTTGTTCTTACGAATCCCCCAGAGACGAGCCACCTCTTCTGCCTGCAAAAGCTTGAACTCCCCATCATTAGACGTCCAGCTGATCATGTGCTTGTTCTGAGGCTCCTGTAGGAGCTGAAGGAGGAACTGCCACAGGGTGATAGCACTGTCCATAGCAGTGAGCTGAAAAGAGGCAGACAGGGAAGACATGGTATTAACAGCCACCACTCCCATAACACCCTATGCCAGGCGCTATGCTCTAAATGTATTACTTCATAGCATTCCCCCAATAATCCTACAAGACAGATACTACTGCGGCCTCGTTTTACATTTGAAAATACTGATTCAGAAAGAGTTAAGTCACTCCTTGTCCGAGGCTGCACAGGTAATTGGTGGAGCCGATGTTTAAACCCAGGCAATCTGGATCTAGAGACCAAACTCGGAAGCATGCCACACTGCTTAAGAAAAGTCTTGCTGGGAGATAAAGTGAGTTCTTTAAGTCCCGGGAGCGGTCTCGGATGACGGCCAGTCACCGGAGGACCACTGCCACTACGTTTTAACTGAAAATCTCCTCCTATCCTCCGAGACCACCCTTTCAGCATCTATACAAATCAACCCAGTTGGTTTATCTGCCAGGATGTGTGTGTGGTGTGTGTGTGTGTGTGTCACAGTGGCCCAAAGATATAGGGAATAATCTACCTGTGCTCCATTGGCCTTTCTCCTCCAAACAGTTTCCATTCTCATAAATTAATTTACATTTAAATTGGCAGCAGCGAAAATTCAACAAAATGCTCCCTGATTTATTTGACAAGTTCTATCACCATTCTGCCCACAGAGCTTCCATCTGCATAAATTACTTTTTTTTTTTTTTTAAAGTAGGCTCTACGCCCAACGTGGGGCTTGAACTCACAGCCCTGAGATCAAGAGTCGCATGCTGTACCAACTGAGTCTGCCAGGCACCACCACACATCCTCTTTCATTTGATTAGTAGCCTTTATGTGATTCTCAAGACATGAAATTAAAAATCTTTCAATATCTCAGGTTTCAGGATTTCCCTGTTTCGGCCAGAGTTTCTCAGCTTTGGCTCTATTGTTCGGGCCAGATAATTCTTTGTTCCTGGAGGCTGTCCTGTGCACTAGGACAGTGAGTTTAACTCACTAGATGCCAGTAGCACCTCCTGACCGGTTGTGACAATCAAACATGTCCCCGGCCATTGCCAGATGTTCTCCTGGGAGACAAAATCGTCCCAGTGGATACCACTGGTTTAGGCAACAGAGCTGCAAGGAAATGTCCTCACAGAGTTATTTTCTTCACAGAACTTCAAGATTCCCATTAGGAAGAATTCTTTATGGCAGAAACTCTGCCATCCCAAGAAGCACCGTATATATATAGCACATCCTAAGAAGCCTGTAACTGAACTATCCACGCACAAGAAAACAAAACCAAAAACCCTTCCTTCCTTTATCTAGGAATGACATCTCAATGGACCAAAATAAGACTTGAAAACAAATTAAATCAATTCCATTAAAATACTACAAAAATAGGTAATTTGGTTGACATCAAAATGTAAAACTTTTGAGCTGCAAACAATATTGTCAGGTGAAAAGACAATCCTCAGAATGGGAGAAAATATTTTCAAATAAGAGGCTTGTATCAGAAATATATAAAGAATTCTTACAATGAAAAAAAAAAAAAAGAAGTAAAGGAAGGTGCAAAGACATCTCTTCAAAGACGACACACAAACTAGGGCACCTGGGTGGCTCAGTCGATTAAAGCACCGACTTCGACTCAGGTCATGATGTCGCAGTTAAAGAGTTCCAGCGTGCGTCTGGCTCTGTGCTGACAGCTCAGAGCCTGGAGTCTGCTTCAGATTCGGTGTCTCCCTTTCTCTCTGCCCCTCCCGCACTTGTGCTCTGTCTCTGTCACTCTCAAAACTGAGCATTTTTTAAAAAGCGTACAAAGAATAATTAATTTTTTAAAAAAGACAAATTGACAATAAGCTCATGAAAAGATCCTCAACATTAGTTATTAGGGAACTGAAAATCAAAACCACATAAGATACCACGCCACACCTACTAGGATGGCTATAATCAATAAGACGGACAATAACAAGTATTGGCTAGGATGTGTCGAGAGTGAAACCCTCATGCATTGCTGGCAAGAATGTAAAACGGGATAGCCACTTTGGAAAACTGTGATACTTCCTCAAAATGCTAAACAGAAATACGATCCAGCTATTCGGCTCCTAGGTACATACCCAAGAGAACCGAAAATACATGTCCAACAGACACACTTGCACAGGAATGGTCACAGCAGCATCATTCTAGAATATCCAAAAAGTAGAAACAACTCAAATGTCCATCAACAATGATGAATGGACAAGCAAAATGTGGTGTGACTACTGGAATATTATTCAGCCGTAAAAAACAGACTTTAGGGGCGCCTGGGTGGCTCCGTCGGTTAAGCGGCCGACTTCAGCTCAGGTCACGATCTCGCGGTCCGTGAGTTCGAGCCCCGTGTCGGGCTCTGGGCTGATGGCTCAGAGCCTGGAGCCTGCTTCCAATTCTGTGTCTCCCTCTCTCTCTGCCCCTCCCCTGTTCATGCTCTGTCTCTCTCTGTCTCAAAAATAAATAAACGTTAAAAAAAAAAAAAAAA